AGTCTCCTAAGGCAGGCAGGAAAAAATACAAGTTTAAAAACATCAAAATGATATGGAAAATCTAATTAAAATTAAATTTAAAATCTTAGTTTAAAGTATGTTAGCAGCTAGCCAAAAGAACTATCTCTTTTAGAGAATATATGCTTAATTTTCTTAGGTTTGGCATTTTCAACAGCTAGTGGTCAGCCAAGCATTCCGAATGCATTTAAAATGATGTCACTAATGTCCCTTTGCATCTTCTCCATTCTCATTCAAGCCAGTGCTTAACCTTGTGGGAATTGGCCCCCTAATAATAGGCTTTTGACTAAGCTTTATATAACCCTTTTCTTAGTTTGAGGACCTTACAAATAATTCACAATTCAACAAAAAATTTATTGAGCATTGCTATGTACCAGGAATATGAAGGTGAATGAGACATAGTTCCTGTTCTCTAGGAGCTTGTAGTCCAACAAGAGAGAACCTTTGAGAAAAATCAAAATTCTCTGTGACTGTCAATAACAAAATCCTTTTAATATTTATTGATTAATGTGTATGGAAATACTAATAAAGCAGTCACTAACTAACTATTGTGCTCTGGGATTTACACATATCTCATTTAATTCTCCCAGCTTTGGTAGGAAAATATTGTGATTCCTTTTTTACTGAAAGTAAAACTGGGAATGAAAGAGGAAAATTCACTTGTCCAAGTTCACCCAGCTGGCAAATGTCAAAGACAGGATTTAACCCAGATCTCTCTGACTCCAAAATTATACTCAACTGCCACCTCCAGTGCATCACCATGTAATCAGGGACTAGCAAAACTGGTTTTAGGAAGGAATAAGCATCCTGAGGTTTTCCCTCTGAATCTGTTCACCTCCGAAAGCTCCTTCTCCATTTGTGTGTCCCTTGATGCTCTCCTCCAGACACATTGGTGTCAGAAAATGCCCCTTCCTGGAAAGCAGTACATATACACCCTGGCAGATATTTGACCATTTGCTCTGCCACAGAAAAACGGCCATCTTCAAGGCAGTATGTACTCCTTTTGGATGGAGACTTCTAACCTCTTTCATTCTTAGTTCTAAAATGAACTAGTGTTTCCCTAGAATTAGCAATGACTCATTAAATTAAGCAAAGCAACTGAATGTAAGGCTCTAACAGCTTAGCTTCTATACTAAATTATACTGAAGCAAAGACCAGCCAGAAGCAAAATCCACTTCTGAAGGGGTCATCTTCATCCTCTGTCCCTTCCTGAGCCTCACACCAGAGCCTAACACACACCTGCACATCCTTTTTAAGTAACTTTTTCAGTTATGCCTTAAACTGAGTCTTCCAGCCTCTCTATTCTAACTCCAGGTAGAAACACTATAGTAAACAATAGTTGTGTTGCTCTTTGCATGCCTCTGACCTCTGGGCACAATCAGAAAATCCTTGATAATGGGTTCCACTTGCAAAGAAGGAATGAATGACTTTCTGCCTTTCCTCTATCTACTCTTTATTTTTCTCCCTGCTGGAGGGAAGATCCCTACAGACTGACCCTTAACCAATTTCCTTTCCCTAGATTCTGTGAATTTCTGTAATTTATACAATTTTAGACACATATTAATATATTTTCATCACACTCTGTTCAAGAGGGAGAGAGCTATCCTGACAAACAAAAAGCACATTGGTGTGAATGCACAAGAAAATCCCAAGAGATTTCTCTAACTATAAGAATGGATGCTCTCATATTTCCCATGTATTTGAACATAGACTTTTAATAGCATAGAATTCTAGAAAATGAAAATAAGTTGTAGAAGAGGGATCTCTTCTCATGGAAAATTCATTTTTGAGTACACAATCTATATTCAGCACCGTGCAAGGCATTACACGGACTAGGGTGGAGAACACATGTACAAAAGAAATAGAAGTCCCGAACCTCAAGGAATTTAGCTAAAATTCAAGTCAGGCATGTTAAGCTAGCCTCAAACAAAGAACCCAGTGAATTCCTAAGAATTTTTCTATCTTGTCAGCGCTTCTGAAGAATTTGGCTCTAAAACCTAAGAAAACATCCATGAAGTCATGGAATTTCCCTGGAAAGCAGGGGTTTAGCTTAGTCCTGCTGATGACACTTGTATCTTAACTTCTGTTGTTGATAAATGTCTGTCAAGTGGTGCTTCCATTAACTTCCAGATTGCTTCTAAATAGACATTGCCCAGTACTCAGTTTTTTACAACTGCTTTTTCACTTGTGTCTTTTCATGTCACCACATCAATCATTCTGAATTAAAAGATTCTACTCATATTTTATCCAAGAAACCCATGTCAAAGGTGACTTTTTCCTGGGAGATACGTTTACTTATTTGAATGTGTCCTATGAAGGAGTCCACCAGACCCAGCACAATTAAATTATAGTTTATAGGGCTGACTGTAATAATCATGAATTCTCCTTCAGAAGTTGTTTGCATCATTTTAAAAAATAATTACAGGTCCACTTATATATATTGGCTCCTTTATTCTGCTGATTATACTTTTAAGAGATTCTCAGATGTGAATTCTACAAGGAAAATCTAGGTCCTATTGACTTACTCCTTCCATAATTGTGAACATTTTTTATTTCCTTCTAAGTTTATTTTTTTTATTCTTCCTAAACACTTCACTTGGAAAGAAATAGCATTTTTTCATGTTAGGGTTTTATAAAAGAAATTCAAAACTCCAAAAGTTGAACTCAATTTAAAGTCATAAATGTAAATGACCTACACACCTGGTTATAACAAAAGATAAAGAGAATAATACGTCTAAAATACCTAATTCTGAAATAAATAAAGTTTTCTGAATTCAAAAACTGATCTGCACAGCTCTTGGACTTTATCTTAGTGTTTTACTTGCTTATCATGGCTTTTTATGCTATCAAAAGAGAGTTGTTTCCTATTTCAGAATTGTTTGTTTTTTCTAACATTTCAGATGCTGGATTATGAACAAATGCCTAATGTTCACCTTAGTATTGGGGTTAAAAACCAAGCTGAATTTCACCACTCAGTTGCCTCTCAATTCCAAATGCACGCAACTCCTGTGAGGATTCGGGTTGTTAATGTAAGAGAAGGGCCTACATTTCACCCAAACTCTATGACCTTCAGTGTGCGAGAAGAAGTAAGAGGAGATTCCATATTGAATTATGTGCTTGGCACATATACAGCCATAGATTTGGACACGAGAAATCCTGCAACAAATGTCAGGTACTGCAAATACTTTGGTCCTGTTAGTGTGACAAAGCAGAGTTCTGTTCAGTGTTAATTCATGTAGTATGTACTAATGCATGTGGGTTGTAAGACTTCTGGAATTTTGTTTTGCTTTTCTTGTTTGCTTGCTTATCTGTTTTAGAAGACTTTTAAGGCATTAACATTTTCTTGAAATTTTAATAGTCTTTTAGAGGCTGTGACTGTTCCAACTGGTTAGTGAGAGCAATTTTGTCCTGGGAGCAATTATAAGATCAAAGGGTCACTGACAGTTACCCTGTGAGTCTCTTTGATCTTTTGTGGCCATCTATACCAACCTTAACCCAGGCTGATTAAGTCACATTGTAAACAGTAAGATATCATAAAAGATGAGTCACTACTTATGTCCTTAAAGCCTGTATTATCTATGACTTTGGGGCTAATTTCAACCCTCTGATTCACCTAAAAGGGGAGGGGAAAAAGACAATGGAAGAAGCTAAAACACAGATGTTTCACAGATATTATGAGCATAAAGAGAGAACTGGAGATAGAAAGGTAGGTATTTAGGGCACTAGGACATAGATTATACATGAATTAGATCTATATAAAATCTGGGAAATAACTATAGTGAACTATGTAGGTATTCTCTATATCCTTCCCTTCTCTCTATCTCTTCTTTTCTTCCCAATATCTTTGGGGTGAACAAAGTCTATTGACTTATAAATGACTTTGATATTAACAGTTTTAATTATTTAATAAGCTAACAAGTTAACAGACTTAATAAGGATTATTAAGTCTGTCAGTATGGAATGGAGGAAAAAGATACGTTAGCTAAATCACACTGAAGACCTGAAATGGTACCTGGTATAAAGACCAGGTCTTCTTCTATTAAGGAGAAGCACTTTAAATCCATCATATGTAACAAGACTAATAAAGACAAGCTGAACAGAGGGTACCACAGGCCCTAAACAGGCCAACAATGAGGTGCTCTGAAACCAATATGCGTTAAAATCCAGGACAGACAAACTAAGTATACCACATGTGAAAATGAATAAAGGATATTCCCTCAATATTGTGATGATTTAATAAACAGAGCTGGAATAAATGATTTCATTAACAATTATAGTAAGAGCTAAAAGAGTAAGAATGATGAAATTTTAAAACCCTTTTGTCAACCTATAGATTAATATACTACATATACTTATAAGCCAAGACAATTATCATGTGAAGCATGAAAATGCATCCATAAGTTCAACATACTGTGGCTCTTATGTGATTTTAAATGACCAACTTTCAAAAACACATAATGAGGAACTTATTTATTTCAAAACAGATATATCATAGGACATGATGCAGGCAGCTGGTTAAAAGTTGATTCAAGGACTGGTGAAATACAGTTTTCTAGGGAATTTGACAAGAAATCAAAATACATTATCAATGGGATATATACAGCAGAGATCCTGGCTGTAGATGGTAAGAAAACTTCTTTTCAATATTTTATTAAAAGTATTATTATATTAAATATTATAAATATTATTCTAGTGTTGGTATTAAATTGACTCAAATAAAATATTACATTTGGCAGTGTCAGCAAGATTTAGACTCTTCTAAATATCTTAGAGCAAGAACCGAATTCAATACATTTATAACCATAATTTACACTTAGGCCATAATTTATTTTACCTACTTCTAAAAAAAGAATTGCATGTGGCTTACAATAAAATTACTGTAAAGCAGAAAAGTTAAAATACATATATATATATAAATAAAATTCAGTTTCTGTTTACGACCTTATCTCCCGAGTATGGCTGATCCAACCTGGAGAGTATGTTAGGAATGTCTGCTTAAAGTAATGGCCACAGAGTGTGCACAAAATTCATTTGGAGATGGCCTGGAGGAAAGGCAGTATAGTTATTTTAGAGCCACTCAAACTGAGCTCACAGAGGCCTCGGTGAGTGTTGGCTGATTAGACACATTGTGTAGATTAAGATGATATAGTCCAAGGAAGCACAAGGTTCTTCCAAATATACGATCCAAATTCAGTGCAAATTATAAGATGCACTGAATTAACTTGTAATTGAGGCACTTCTCACGTGGGAAAATCTATTCAACATTCCTCTTGGTGAGTAGCAACAGGAATTTGTTTATTTATCAATAGTTAATGATTCTCCACGCAATGCCTGGAAAAGCAGCAACCACAGAACAAAACAACAGACAAAGGTCAGTAACCAGGAAGGAAGGGGAAAAAAAAGACACCTCAGATACATACCTAATATAAAATAGATAATACAGGTTTGCGGTAAATTTATATCTGAGTTTTTGGTAGCCAAACAAAGAGACAGATACAATGGGCAGTTTACGATGAAAACAAAACAAAACAAAAACATGGTAACAGCCAAGAAATTACACTCTATACATTTTGGTCTTCATCCCCTTGATGTAACTTTTATAACTGCTTCAGTTATATAACCGTTTACCCCAACACCCATGATGCTTTATTAATTCAGACAGCTGATTTATTATCAGTATTCCACAAGGCCTATTCATAAAATGGATTCTAATCATATTGATCACATCCTATATTTGTATATTGGTTATATATGAATATCTTTAAAAAACAGAATAAAAGAGTGAATAAAGAGGGGAGGGGAAAGTACTTTCAAAATGAACTGAGAGAAAACTAAAATCAAGGGTCATTGTTGATGGCCTGGGCACCGTATCTGCCTGGGACAGAGCCATCCAAACTGTCAGGTAAGTTTGACTAAGGATGCATGGCCACCAGCGGAAGAGGCGGAGCAATACATACAGCAAACGCCACAGCGTAGCAAACGCCGTAAGTAAGCAGCAGCCTAAGGTTCTGGCTGCCACATCACAGGGCCATAAAGAAGCTGCACAGGATCAGAGAATTACAAATAAAACAATCTATGGGATAATGTGATGTCTCCCTAATGAGAGACTAAATGAAATAAACACTTTAGTCTAGAAAGTCAAATGCTGAATAGGGTATAAGGACAAACTGTACAAAATCATGTAAGATATGGATAGGCTCTCCGTTTATTATCATTCAATTAATTTATTATCATTCAATTATCTAAATGACTCCACCATTTAGGCATGTAGAAATCATCTTTAAAAAAGTTTATTAATTTCTTTAATGACATAATAAAGTACCCTAGAGATAATAATGTTCTAGATAACCAATTTAAAAATATAAGATCCCTTGAACATTAAAAAAACAAGCAGACAAACAAAGAAAACAAAACAAACACACAAAACTTATTCAAGGTAAATAAAAATGGTAGAAATGTGGACAATAAGCCGAAACCAAACCAAATTCATTGCCTTGAGTTGATTCCAACTCATAGCAACCCTATAGCCCTGACTCCCAATTTTGGTCCTGTGACTGTTCTAACAAACCATACTAACCCAGCATTTGCTTCAAATGAATTAAGGGGAAAAATCTAATAGATTTGTATTTGTTTTCAGAAGTGCCATTTCAGGTAGAAATGACACTAATGGAGGGAATTAAAATAAACAGAGAAAACAGAAAAACACATATAATCAATTATTTAATTTCAATGAGCATTGTGAATAAAAGCTCTAAGCTAGTCTGAAATTTCAATTGTGGGGACAGAGTGGTAATAGAGAGCACTAAATCTTCTATGAGGAAAAACATTCAGTTTTGCATCTTAGGATGTACAGGAGTTAGCAGAGTAAAATGGGGATGAAAGACATTTTATTTTAGAAAGAGTGAACAGAATGGGCAAGGGTTCCAAGTTAGCAAAAAGCTTGTTCAAAGAACTAAGAAGCAAGTATAGCCGGAACACAGCTATCAAAGACAAGAGTAACTTTAGGCAGTTGAAGAAGTAGGGAGCCTATCCTCACCATCTCAGGAATCATTAATACTATTCATATATGCTATGGCAGCATCATGGAATATGAAAGAGAATTTTCTCTCCGACACTATTTACCCCAACATGCGTAACGCTTTCTGTTTTAGATGGCTCTGGGAAAACGGCTACGGGAACCATATGTATCGAGGTTCCTGATGCCAACGACTACTGTCCAGTCATTTATACTGAAAGTAAAACCATCTGCATTGCCTCTCCATCGGTCCTTATCTCTGCAAGAGACATTAATGACCATTCTTACGGGTCTCCCTTTACTTTCTGTGTTGCTGATCAGCCACCAGGGACAGCTGACTTATGGGATATCAGATCCATAAACGGTAAGTGGAATGTAAACTTGCTCAGAATTTTGAGTCCAAAAAGCAAAAGAATTATCAAAATAATTAAAAAATTATTTAGTAATACTTTTTAACTTGGTTTCCA